GCAGCTAACGGCCCATGTGCAGGGTTTAGGGTTTAGGGTTTAGGGTTTAGGGTTTAGGGTTTAGGGTTTAGGGTTTAGGGTTCCTAGGTTCTCTTAGCTCGCCGAGAACTAGGGGATTCTAGGCGCCACCTCACACGGAGCGTTGCCTCCCAATTAATTAACTACGAATGAGACAGTAACCTAGGGCAAAACAGGGCTCCCTGTTTAGAATTGGGTGGTGCTAGACTGGAAGGTACCAAGAGTATTTAAACCCCAAACCCTTAGCCCCTACCGTTTGAAGCCCTAAACCCTAAACCCTAAACCCTAAACCCTAAACCCTAAACCCTGAACCCGAGGGCCTCTGTCAGCCGGAATCTTTGCGGCATCCTCCTGGCCACTCAGATGTTGGTCTAGGGCCTTGTGAGCTCCAGGGTCTAAGGCTTAGTGCTCCTAGAACGTAGCGTTTAGGGTTTAGGGTTGGGGTTCGGGTTTAGGGTTTAGGGTTTAGGGCCTAGGCTTAAGGGTTTAGGGTTTGAAGCTTAGTGCTAATAGAACTTAGGGTTCAGGGGGTTCTCTGGGCTATAAGGGGCTCTAAACAAGCTCACTTGCTTTGCCCTAAACCCTAAACCCTAAACCCTAAACCCTAAACCCTAAACCCTAAACCCTAAAGCCGATGTGGAAGTCCGCCGTCGGAGTGAGTGCTTGAGGCCCTCTCTGACAATCAACCGTGCGCAGAGTGGGCTCTTTACCTATACTCCTAGAGCCGGGAGCAACCTGGGAATAAAAAGGGGTTTAGGGTTTAGGGTTTAGGGTTTAGGTACCCTTTTTAGTTTTAAGGGGATTGTAAGGGAACCCCAACCCTAAAAAAAGGAAAGAAGGGCCTTCTCCCGGTCCTATACTCCCCTTAGAACCGCAATTCAAAGAGTATGTTTAGTAAATATTCCCTCGGGCTTTACAGAAATGAAAATGGATAATACTTCGTAATTAAGGGGGCTATAAACTATATTTTGAGAACTTGGTAGCCGAAATTTCGGTACTCCTATTTCTGTCCCACATGACTCTACTCGTAGCTAGGGCGTGCAGATTAGATGCAGGGGCCCACTTCTAGGCGTGAACCATAATCTTCAATCCTAAACCCTAAACCCTATTCGTAGAAAACCTGCTGTCCGAGTCCTTGACACTTCCCACCGGAACTGCGCAGGTTTCACAGGCAAATTGCCGGGCACAGGTTACCTCAAGCAGAAAAAGCCTACTAACTACACGACATGTCAACATCTCTCCTATAGAAAGTAGTCGGATGATGTCCGTAGTTTGCAGAGGCCTGGCGCTGCGTGAAATTCTGGGTTGCAGGGGAGACCTAGACCTAACCCCGAAAACTCTTAAGTCCCTGAAAAGCCCAAAGCCCTAACTACCAGGTGAATGCGGGAGCACCGGCTCTGACCCCTACAGCTGCAACCTGGAGCCAGGAGCAAGGGGTTGACCGGCAAGGGGCGTGCATCAACTTCTAGGCCAGGGTTTAGGGTTTAGGGTTTAGGGTTTAAGGGTTTAGGGTTTAGGGTTTAGGGTTTAGGGTTTGGGGTTTGGGGTTTGGGGTTTGGGGTTTGGGGTTTGGGGTCTAGGGTCCAGGGTCCAGGGTCTAGAGTCTAGGCTTTAGGGTTGAGGGTTTAGGGTTTAGGGTGTGTATCAAGTATTCTTCGAAGTCCTCACGGCGTAATCCTCCATTTTAATGCCGTTGGAGCCTGATGGTCAGACTCAGAAGCCCCGAACAACAACACCCTGAAGCCTCAATCGGTTTAGGACCGGGCTGAACTCAGGGTTTAGGATTTAGGGTTTAGAGTTTAGGGTTTAGGGCTCAGTGTTCCGATGGAGGGTTTTCACTGCTTGGTGAACGTTTTCCCTGAGCTTCAAAGGGCCAAGGGCCTGGCCGCCTCACTTAAGACGGTCGAGCGCCGGGCCCTATACCTCCCAAAGCACCACGCTCTCACTCCCATCACCATAATATAGGGGCCTGAATACTTAGAAGAGGGTCTTGGGGGCTATTGTAGTATGAATATAAAGGGACCATAAGGGAATAGTATGCGAAATTCTTCCGACCCCTATACCTCATCCCTAAACTGAAACCCTGAACGCTATACTAGACCCAAGAGTAACATCCCCCCTCCCCCCCTCCCCCCCTCGCCCCCTCCCCCCCCTCGCCCCCTCCCCCCCTCCCCCCCCCCCCCCCCCCCCCCCCCCGCCCTTCCCTTCACGTCCAGCGTGTCTTTTTCCTACGTCACACGAGCCTGAAAGCGATCGCCACGGACGCCTCCTTGCAGACGAGGTCGCCAAGACCTGACACAGGAGGCTGTGGGTTGCTCAGGGGTATCCTGCTAGGGTCTAGGGTTTAGGGTTTAGGGTTTAGGGTTTAGGGTTTAGGGTTTAGGGTTTAGGGTTTAGGGTTATCTTGGTGGCATGGAATGAGAAGCATATAAGGGTGCGAGGACGACAACTTGCAACAGATTAGGATTTGGACTCTTGACAAGTGGGGCTAAGGGTAATAGGGAGTAGTCGTCACCAAGCTGCTTGTGGTAAGGGCTTGAGGGGTTCGAGACTCCCCCTTGTTACCCTATAGTTGTACTATGGACTTTTGTAAAGGGCCCTACCTTGCTTCTAGAGTCTTACAGTTTGAGCTGCAGGTCTTTGAACTAGAGTTCATATTGTCAAGGGGCACTTACCAACCCGAAACCCTAAACCCTAAGACTTCCAGAACGCCGCTGAGCTCCCTGGCGCGCGGCGCTTCGTGAAGTCCATGGGTTTGAAGAACCAGAAGCTGTAGTCCATGTCCAAATACACCTGCGTGCCGAAACCCTGAGGTCTAAACTCTGAAGCGTCTAGGAGGTTAACCACCCTAAACCCTAAACCCTAAACCCTAGCCCTAAACCCTAAACCCTAAGCCCGAAGCCCTCAGTGTTGGAGTTGGGTACTCTGGGGGTATTTGATAAAACAAACAAACCCCCAACAAATGAGGGGGTCTATATTAGGAGTCCCGTATGCTCGCCAACCCTCATACGGCCCGTCTTCTTGAGCTGTCATTCTGGTAAATTTCGCTGCAATGGAGGCCCCCTAAACCCTAAACCCTAAACCCTAAACCCTAAACCCTAAACCCTAAACCCTAAACCCTAAACCCTAAACCCTAAACCCTAAACCCTAAACCCTCGAACGAACATCAACCCTACTGGCTGGCTCCCTTCTTGCCAAGGTTCGGGAAACCGACGCTTCGAGCCCGAAAATAACGTGGCGCTCCAGAGGGTCCATTTGGAGTACTATTCTGGTTTAGGGTTTAGGGTTTAGGGTTTAGGGTTTAGGGTTTAGGGTCTAGGGTCTAGGGTCTAGGGTTTAGGGTTTAGGGTTTAAGGTACCCAAAAACCCTGTTGAGTATGATTTTCGGGTGTACCGAGTTCCATGGCAGCACTAAAAATGGACCCTCAACAAAAATCCTAAACCCTAACCCCTAAACCCTAAACCCTAGACTCTACATCTGTGGGGAATTTACCCACAAGAAGAAAGTTAGGAACCCAGGAACAATGACTGAAAGTGTGAGATCCCAGCAGTCTTTCTTCGTGAGAGGGTCTCAAAGGGGGATCCCCCCCTAAACCCTAAACCCTAAACCCTAAACCCTAAACCCTAAATCCTAAACCCTAAATCCTAAACCCTAAGCCCTAAATCCTAAACCCAAAACCCTAAACCTTAAGACTTACAACTTACAAGGAGCCCTCATCCTCGGCAAAAGAGCTGAGACCTGAGGCCTTCACATTTCACCCTTCTGCCTAGCTAGGGGCGCCTAAACTTTTCATAGGTATCCCAGAGGGTCCATTTGTACTACTATTATGGAATTCGGTACCCTAAAACCCTACGTAGAAGGGTTGTTGGGTACCTAATGCCAGAAAGGTACTACAAAAGGACCCTCTGGGTACAAGGTGTGCAAGAATTATGTGTAAGTGAATTATGTGTGTCCGCGTGCACTTGTGCAAGTACACGTCGGGTTTAGGGTTTAGGGTTTCCGACTTGTAGGCCTGTAGATCTAGGGCTGCCGTATCCACCTCAATGATCGTTCTGCCTCAAAAACTCGTGCTGCCTCATTAACACCGCGTGGCGAGGCAGCACTCTACATCTGCAGGGTCGCCAGGGAGATGGTTCGGAAAAGAGAACTAAAGGGAAACGCCGGCATCTTAGCTTGCATGCTGCCTCAAGTATGCATGCTGTCTCTCTGAGGCAGCATGCAAAACTGAGGCAGAATGCATATAGAAACCCTTGAATTAAAAGACACTATGGACCCAGGACCCATTAAGCCCCAGACCCTAAACCCTAAACCCTCTTAGGGTTTAGGGTTTAGGGTTTAGGGTTTAGGGTTTAGGGTTTAGGGTTTAGGGTTTAGGGTTTAGGGTTTAGGGCCGCAGCCGGTCGAGACCGTACCCGGGGTTGGCCTCCGTTCGCCCGGGGAGTTGGGACACAAACTCCAGCACGGCGCCTGCATTGCATGGCCCGGCACCCCCCCCCCCCGAAACATTATTTGTACAGTGAAGCCCAAAATCCTCCCTCAACCCAAAACCCTAAACCCTAAACCCTAAACCCTAAGCCCTAAGCCCTAAGCCCTGAAACACAAACCCTAAACCCTAAACCCGAGAGCTGCGTCGGGTGAATGTCAGGATTATGACTGCCCCTAAGTACCAATCAAGGCTTAAGGAGCTGGAGATTTCCAACCAGGGCCTTAGAAGGAGAAGTGGGGAACCAGGTTTGAGGGTTCATATAGGGTTTAGGGTTTTGGGAGGGTTTAGGGGTTCTTATTATAAGTTAGGTTTAGGGTTTAGGGTTTAGGGTTTAGGGTTTAGGGTTTAGGGTTTAGGGTTTAGGGTTTAGGGTTTAGGGTTTATTTGGGGGGATACAAGGCACCTTCTTCCGGGGTATATTGGGGGATAAAAGCCCTGGCTCGAGGGCCTTCCAGCGGCAGGGTTGTGTCAGCTAAGTCTCGAGGGACGCGCGCCATGGTTGGGGACAGCTTGCTGTCCGAACTGGTCAGAGGGGAGTCGGTTTCCCAAGTGGGTTGTGTTGACAGTTTGGATGGCATTCGAGGGGGTTTCCACTGCCTGCGGACATTTGAGACTCATGCACATTCTCACAAAGCCATTGACGTGCGCGCAAGTGCCACAATGTCTGATGCCTTAGTTTGGACTGTTCTGCAGTTCTTGCGAGTTGAATCGGAGACTTTGGATACATGTATCCTCCCACCGTCCGTTGCTCAAATGTTGCTTCAATGTGACGGCAGCAATCTGCGAAAGTGTGTAGAGCCTCTGGGTGTTCTTGACCCTGCTTGCTCGCTGCTGGTTGTCTTCCCTGCTGAAGGGCACTGGGCCTTGTTGCAACTCACACAGACTTTCTCGCATAGGCTGCAAGCTGTGTACTATGATGGAGTGCCCCAAAGAATCTTGTCTGCAGCAACAGCGCTTGCTATGCGTATCGCAGCACTGTGGGACAAACCACTCGAACCGGTAGAGTCAAAGTGCATCTTCGAACAGACAACCGAGCATTCATGCGGAGCCATTGCATTAGCGCATGCTGCTGCATGCTTGGCGGGTAACGCCGAAGGGGCTCTGCAGAATGTTGTCTCGTTGGTGACGCTTTTTGCGCATGCAGTACCAGTCGGCCACATTCATTGCTCAGGTGGTCTCTCTCAGGAGCAAGAGACTAAACTAAAGGAGCTGCTGCTAGAGAAAGGCGTTCCCGCCGATCAGGTGCACTCTCGTGTGCAGGCAGCAGTGGCCAAGGTCGGTCCAGGGCCATTAGCTAAGTGCCTGAGCGCCACCAACCCCTGGATGGCCCTCAAGTCAGCAGCGTCCCAACCGGGAGCCAACTTTCGCTACATCAAGCCCGAAGAGTTGGCAGCGCAAGTTGAGGCCAAGGCAGCAAGCAAGTTTGGGGCTGCCGTGCAGGACGCCAAGCGCAAAAAGCAGAAGGACAAACGGCCCAGGCCAGATGCTCCAGTCCTGCAAGTTGATCCGGCCCACCTGCTACTTGCTCAAGGTTCTTTTGTTGGCCCAGAGAACTCGCCACTTGGCCAACTTGCCATTTCCGAAGTTGGTAGCCAAGCCACGGGGGTTGCCTTTTGTTGCGCGCAGCAGATGTTGCCATACATTCAGAGCTTTAAGTCCCTTTCCGTTGATGCGCTTGGCCTGATTTCTACTTCGGAACTTCCATCTGAAGCTATTGCAGGCGTACCAGCACGTAACATTCGCTTTCCTGCCATCTATGCACCCACCAATGAGCCAGTGCTTCTTTCCGGCACTCTCCTCCAATTGGGAGATGAAGAGGTTGATTTGGCCAGGCAAGACATTGCAGATGTCGAGCAGCTGCCTACGTCCACCATCCGCATCTCAGTTTACCGTGACGAAGTGGGCATTCCATGGGAGGAGTTCTGTCCTGCACCGATTCGTGCTTTGCTTGCCAAGGTACCAGGTCTTACTTTATGTCGGGATGGCTCTTGCAGGGGTGACTGCCCGTGCTTTCACGCGCCTGTTGATGAGACCTTGGACCAGTTGTTCCTGGACGTGTGGGCTCGACAGTGGGCTAGGCTTGAAGGGGGCCGTGCAGATCCTGGCACAGCTGCTGCGTTCCACGCGTTGTTCCGCATTCCCACTTCTGCCTTGAAACACTGTCTCCGCTTGGGCATACAAGGTGTGTACTGCGAACCTCGTTCCAGCGATGGGTTTTCGCCAAGTGAGGTCTACTCTGTAGTGTGGTTGCCAAACGCAGATCGACAAGCAGCTTCGCATGCTCTCAAAACCTGCGGCAAAGCCATAGCCGTTGCCAGGCTGGGTAAGAAATTCGGCTTGAGGGTCCGTGAAAGTGACGAAGGTGCAGTGTTCGCTGCGCACCGCCCTGGCCAGGAATTTGTCCAGATAAAGGTTGTCCAGAAATGGCGGGTGTACCCACTGCTTAAGGGGGATACAACGCCACCACATGCAACAGCTCCTCCGCAAGTGGGACTGGAAGGCTCGTCCGCTCCAGCCCGCCAGAGGTGATGCTCAAGGCAGCGCCTGGGACATCGGATCTGCTGACGACCCTCCTGCTCAAGCCCTTCCAGTTGGCGACAGCTTCGCAATCTTGACCCGTCTGAAGGGCCCTGCCACTGGTGAAAGGCCGATACCAGTCAGTCACTGCTTCCCGCCGCACGAAGCGGGCCATCATATATGACGATGGCGAAGGTCCCACAAATGAGGCAGATCCCTGGGCCAATGGCAGGGACCCGTGGAGCCAGGCTACGTCCAGCACATGCCCCCGTCCGCCTCCAGGCTTACCAAGCCCGGCCATCTCGTCAAGCGCAGAGAAGAAGCTGGACCAGCTCCGCTTGGAGCTAACCAGCCAAGTCCACGAGGCTGTCACTCAACAGGTCCAGTCGGTTGCCGGGGCAGAGGCCCAGCAACAAGGGGTGCACGACAAGCGCCTGCTGCGTTTGGAACAGAGCGTTAGCGAACTGCAGCGCCAAAACCAGAAGTTTGAGGGTTGGTTCCAGGAGTTTGGAAACAAAGTCACAGCCACTACCGCCCAGGTCCAACAAGTTGCGGCCACGCTTGAAGCCACAAACACACAGGTCCAGCAAGTTGCCAGTACCTTGGATGGCCAACAACAGCAACTCGCCCAAGTTCAGGTAGAGGTTGGACGCTCTGTTGACGGTGTTGGACAGGCCGATGCTGCCCAAAAAACTGACCAGCTTCTCACAACGGTCACCCAAGAGCTTGTAATCGGTGGACGTGGTCCAAGGATAATTGCTGGAGATTTCAACCAGGATGCAGACCGCCTGGAACAGCTCCGCATTTGGAGGGAGCGCGGCTGGGTAGAGGCTCAGGAGCAGGCGCAACTGCTCTGGGGCCAAATGCCCATGCCAACGTGTAAGGGAGCTACCATCCGTGATTTTCTCTGGCTTTCTCCGGAAGCGGCCTGTCTACTCCATAGTGTCATGGTCCAACAACACTTTCAGGAACATGACACCCTAATCGCCACTCTTCGCGTGGACATGGGTGTACACGCGGCTTTGAGTTGGCCCTTACCAGCGGAAATTCCCTGGGAATCAGTGAACCATGCGACGTGGCATCATTCAATGCCAACCTTTCCTGAATGCACTGGCAACACCACTGCGTGGTTGAAGTCTTTCGCGCACATTTTCGAGCAGAGCCTCGATGGGCACATTACGGGGGTTCCCGGTGGACATCTTCCGAGGAGATGTCATGGGCGGGCGAAACGAATGCGGCCGCGCATTGAACAACAGCGGTGCATAGCGCCCAAGCCCAGCCGCCCAGGGGAGGTCTCTTTGAGCCATAGTTTGGTTTGTTTGGAGGTCAAGTACTGGTTTCAGCAACTGCGTCGCTTGCAGAGCCTAGTTCATGCACTGCGGGCTGGGGCAAACAGACCCTCAGCCGTAGAATATCGATTGCAGCTGTGGCGTGCCATTCTTGAGGGTCGAGGGTTCCTGCGCGGCTTCCAGGCCTGGTGGGGCACTCGTCCTGTTCGCCACCAAGGCCTCCCAGCACATCTGCCTCACTCCCTTCCAGGGCTCGACCTAGCGGAGCAATTGTATGCTGACTTCCACGCCAATTTCAAGCGTTTTGAATCCTGGCACATTCGTCAACGTACTAAGTTGCTGCAGGCAAAATATGAGCAGGCTCGCGAACTGTTGTACAGAGATCTCCGCGATGATCGGCCATCGCAGGTTGATCACTTAGTCCTGCAGAAGAGTTTTCAGGTCGTGGCCTGTGACTCGGACACAAGGCAAGTTCACTTGGATAAAGCAGCTGACATGAGGGGTCATTCGACGTGGTCCTTTGAAGGAGTCAACATTGAGGTATGTGTTCAGACTCCGCAGCTTTGCCTCTTGCCCCCTGACGTTCCCCTGTGTCCAGATCTTGCATCACTTGAACAAACCATCGTACTTCATGACGTGTCTGACATTCTTTCCGAGTTTCAGTCCGCGTGGACGCCGCGATGGAACAAGTCTAGCCCAGATGTACAGCCGGACTGGAACAGGCTTGTAAGTTTTGCTCGGGCGTTTTTGCCAAGCGCCCCTTTTCACGCTCAGCCCATCAGCCTCAAAGACTGGCGATCCACTATCGCACGTCTCAAACCCCGCGCTGCTCGGGGCCCAGACGGCGTTGCCAAGGCGGATCTGGTAGCTATGCCAGACGAAGCTGTTTTGTGCCTACTTTCCGTGCTCAATGCCATCGAAGAAGGGAACCTCAACTGGCCGAATCAGTGGCTTCAAGGCTTCGTCATCAGCCTGGCCAAGCCAAACGAGAGGCGAGACGCTGATGGGTACCGACCCATTTGCCTCTTTGCCATCGTCTACAGGGCGTGGTCTTCTCTGCGAGCCAGGCAATTGCTTCAACATTTCAAGACAGTGATGCCGGAATCTGCGCTCGGATTCATCCCTGGCAGAGAGGCTTCCGAAATGTGGTATAGACTGGAGATCATGATTGAACTGGCTTGCCAGGGTGACCAACCATTGTGCGGCTACGGTACGGACATAGTCAAATGTTTCAATGGGCTTCCTAGAACTCCCCTGCTTGAAGTTGCAGCTTTGCTTGGGGTCCCGGACCGTATTTTGGTTCCTTGGCGGGCTTTTCTTTCAGGTGTTCGCCGTAGGTTCCTCATCCGAGGTCACGTAGGGCAAGCACTGGCCTCAACAAGCGGCTTTGCAGAAGGCTGCCCGTTGTCACCGTTTGCAATGTGCGTTGCCAACCTAGTATACCATTTGTATCTCCATCACTATGAGCCGCGTGCCTCTGCGGTCAGTTATGCCGACAACTGGTCACACACAGCATCCAACATAGGACAACTGGCTAGCGGCATCGTGATGACTCAGTGCGTGGCGGACATGCTGGATGTCCAGCTAGATCCGGCCAAGACTTTTGTGTGGGGTTCACATGCATGTGTCAGAAACTCGCTCAAGGCGTTGGGCATCCCAGTTTTGAGACAGTCTCGAGAACTTGGGGGCATTTTATCCTTTGGAAGTGCTACCAGGAATGCGGCGCTAGTAGACCGTTGCAAGGCACTAGCTCCGTTATTCAAGAAGTTGGCCCTTTCACGCAGTCCACTTGCTTTCAAGTTGCAAATCTTGCCTTCTAAGTTGTGGGCACGTGCCCTCCATGGTGTCTCGGGGTGCCCACTAGCACTTGCTCACATTACCAACCTCCGCACACAAGCTGCGCGCGCGCTGCACGTCACGTCAGCTGGGGCTAGTCCATGTCTTCGTCTTAGTCTTTCCGCCCCAATGGAGGCTGATCCAGGATTCTACCAGTTGTGGGCTTGTGTCAGGGATGCACGACGCATTCTGCGGCGACAGCCTGATTTGGTCGGGAGTTGGAAACAGTTCATGCGCAGCTTTGATGGGGCGTTGTACCATGGACCATTCTCTAAGTTGTTGCAGGTCCTTTCGCAGATAGAATGGCATGTTGCAGTTCCACCGCTGGTTGTAGACCATGAGGGTTTGACACACAATCTTCTGTTCATGCCGAAATCGCTGTTGCGCCAACGCTTGGAGAGGGCTTGGTTAAGGCACATAGGACATGCGCACACTCACAGGGCAACCATGTGCGACCTGCACGGGGTCGATCAGGCCCTTGCTCAACTGGATGTGCAGCGCATGCACGCATTGGACCTATCCCGTCTGCGTGCTCTCCAGTCGGGATCCTTGTTGTTTGGAGCAGAGCATGCCAGGCATGATACCACGCTGACAGGGTTATGCTTACATTGCGGTTGCTCTGATACCCGTTTCCATCGGGTGTGTGAGTGCCCAGCATATGCAGCAGCTCGTGAGGGGCAAGAGTGGGCCATCAGCTTTTGGCATACTTTGCCGACTTGTCTGACCCATCATTTGCTACCGCCAAGTAATGCAGACACAAGTGCCCTGCACGCATTGTTGCATGCCATTGCGGATCAAACACCGGACACACACGCCATGCCTTTACATGTAGGCAGACAACATATATTTACGGACGGTTCGTGCTTCCAGAGCGGTCACCCTGACTTCGCCTTAGCAGCATGGGGCGCTGTGCTGGCTGACACAGACACAGTCATTGGATGTGGTCAAGTTCCGGGCATTCAGCAGACTGCCCCTCGGGGGGAGTTATATGCTGTGATCTGCGCCCTGAGCTGGGCACTGCGACATGGCGTTGCAATCTGCATTTGGTGTGATGCTCTACATGTGGTGCAGGGCATTGACAAGTTACTGCATGGCAGCCCTCTTCCGGACGATCCAGAGAACGATGATTTGTGGCGACGAGTGTCGGACATGGTCAATAGCTTCGAACACGATGCTATTTATGTCCAACATGTTCCTTCACATTTGGATCTTAGTCGGACCACGTCTGCCTTCGAAGACTGGGTAGCTATTTGGAATGCGCGCGCTGACCGGGTAGCTGTTCAGGCTAATCAGAATCGGTCAGTCCATTTCCTGGAAGTATACCACGCTGCGCTGCGCCGGCATGAGTTCTTCGCAAAAGCCATTCGGGCTTTCCGGCATATCTATTTTGCCATAGCAGAAATAACGGGCGGACGGCCACCTTGCCAACGAGTAGCGGATGATGGTGACGAGACAATTGAATTGGCCGGGCAGGCCCCACAGTACTTTCTGAGATGTGCATCTATTCAAGATCGCCTACCCGTCAACTGGCATACTCAAGCAGCGGCAGCTACTGGATTCGTTCCAGCGACATTCGTGACGGCATTGATGAATGAGCTCATTCGTTTGGACGAAGCTGAGGTCATGGCTTGTAAAGTTTCCTGGCTTGAGCTTCTGTTTTTGATGGTAGGGAATCCCAGGGTTGAGTTTCCTGTACAGTGTCCTAGCACGGGCGCCTGGGTTCCTGCTTCAACAGTTCTTTTCAGTGCACCTTTGAAGGCCGCTTGTCAGCTCCGGCTACTTCGGAAGGTTTTAGGACATGTAGTGCGAGTTTTGAGCCTGCAGGACTTGTGTTGCCAGGGTATTTCGTTGGCGGATCTTCGGGTCTCTGCGCCTCAAGATGGTATGTTGGTGGGGATCAGTGCCATTGATTTGATGGAGGCACGCTCAAGGCTCGCAGTTTTTACCAAGACACGGCCGATCCGGTCGGTGTCAGATTTGGCGAGGCCAATACGGCCAGGCCCCTGACCAAACCTCAGACCTTGTGCGCGCGGCACTGCTCTGGCTGTGTCCGTGCACCTTCAACGAGTGAGATATATTGGGGGATAAAAGCTACCTTCTTCCGCAGCCCAAGAACAAGCTAAAGCTTTTTGAAGCTGCCATGTTGGCCAGCTAGGGAAGCTGTCATGTTCAAAGCTCCGCTCTTGGCTGCGCTCAGTAGGGTAGCTAAGAATTCTAATTTTACCCTAAACCCTAAACCCTAAACCCGAAACCGTGGCTCTGCAAATTAAGAAACCCAATAAGCCCAACAAGGCTAAGGGTCTAAGGTTACGGTAAAGGGAGATGGACGGTTTGGAGCTGAGGCTGCACGGTTGTACGCTTTAGGGCTTCGAGTTGAGGTCTTTAAGGCTTCGGATTCATGCAGCAAGACTCCATAAGGGCTTAGGGTCTTGCAATATTAAAACGCCCATGCAAAAAGAAGCACCACCGGCCAGCCCCAGCGCCCGCCCATCTCTTCGCAGGCTACATGGTCACAGGCTACATGGCCTGCACACAAACTTCTGCGCCTGACCTTTTAAGGGGGTTAGGGTTTAGGGTTTAGAGTTTAGGGTTTAGGGTTGTTCCCCCTTATACTCACAGTCCACAGGGATTATAGTACCCCCTGTTATGATCCCTATTAAGGACTGTCAGTAAAAGGGCGAACATCCCAAGACATACACCCTACCGAACGAAAACAGGAGACTATCCAATTAGAATGGTTGTGGACAGCGAGCACAATAACTACATGTGGAGTGCAAGGGGGTATGTTGCGCACTTATTTCGGCGCTCGCATGAACCGAAGACCTTTCCACACCCTAAGCCCTAAACCCTAAACCCTAAACCCTAATCTGGGTCTCCGGGCGCATGAGCCCAGGAAAGGACATGGAGAAGTCATGGCCTGGCCATGACAAAAGAATTGCTCTAAGCCCAACCCCCCACAAAGCCCCGCCCCCCCCCAACAAAACCACAACGTACGCAACCCTAAACCCTAAACCCTGAATCCTAAACCCTAAACCCTAAACGTTGGATCATATACAAAATGTTGCCCTCACAGGGAAGACTCGCCTGCGCCCCCTTTTTTGTCTGTCTCTACTGATATACATACAAAATAAAAATAGCGGGTATACATATAAATATCAATGTAAACGAGTCCAGAATACTGTGCTGGATGATCACAAACCCCAAACCCCCAACCCCAAACCCCCAACCCCAAATCCCAAACCCCAAGCCCCAAACCCCAAACCCCAAACCCTAAACCCTAAACCCCAAACCCCAAACCCCAAACCCCAAACCCCAACCCTGACCCCTCTAAACCCTATATGCCCTAAGCCCTGCACCTGCCATGACTCCCCCCGGTCGCAACTTCGGCCACCAAGCTCGCAGGTCCTTCGAGCCGCGCAGGGTTTAGGGGTTTAGGGTTTAGGGTTTAGGGTTTAGGGTTTAGGGTTTAGGGTTTAGGGTTTAGGGTTTAGGGTTTAGGGTTTAGGGTTTAGGGTTTAGGGTTTAATTAGGGTTTAGGGTTTAGGGTTTAAGGTTTAAGGTTTAGTTTATATTCTAGACTCTACTCCAAACCTTAAACCCTCAAAGTTCTACACTTGGCAGAGGGCTGAGGGTTTCGGGTTTATCTAGGGTTTGGCATTTGAATTCTAATGCCAATAACGCGAGCAGGAAGGCCACATGGGCAGTCATTGCGGCTACTTTGCCCCCAATAGCCCTAAACCCCTTTTGGGTTTTGAATTTCGGGTTTAGGGTTTTAGCTACTTCGGGGGGTTCAAACCCTAAACCCTAAATCCTAAACCCTAAACCCCGAAGCCCAGAACGCCACCAAAAAAGAAATGGAACCGCAACGTAGGGGAACCGCAAGGTAGGCCCTTGGCCTGGGATCCTTGAAGGGTTTAGGGTTTAGGGTTTAGGGTTTAGGGTTTAGAGATGGCCTTTTTCGTCTAGCAAAGAGATTGTGGCAGTTTGCTCCTGGATATCTGCGCCACTGCAAGCATTGTGCCTCAACCCTGCGCTAAACCCGGCCCTCGGAGGGAATCTATCCCTTAGAAACAGTGCCTGCAAGGTTTAGGGTTTCGGGTTTAGGGTTTAGGGCTTAAGGGCATAGATGTGAGGCATCCCGAGGCAGAAGATTTGGAATGATCTGCGACGATGAGGACAAAAGGGGTCAGGGCTTGGTCTTAGGGTTTGGGGTTTAGGGTTAGGGTTTAGGGTTAGGGTTTAGGGTTAGGGTTTAGGGTTTAGGGTTAGGGTTTAGGGTTAGGGTTTAGGGTTAGGGTTTAGGGTTTCAGGGTTTCAGGGTTTCAGGGTTTCAGAGCTTCAGGGTTCAGGGGTGTCAGGGTTGAAGGCCAGAATCAACACGGTATTGCTGTGGATTGGCGGCCTTCTCCCGCACTAGTACAGTGGCGAGCCCCCCTGCCCTACCAATTAGGGTTTAGGGTTTCGGGTTTAGGGTTTAGGGTTTAGGGTTTAGACTTGCTTTTGCCGATACCCTTAGTCCCAGAGGATCCATTTGTATAGTACAATTACGGGGGGTACGATTATGGGATGAGGTACCCCAAAGACCATACTTAAGAGGCTTTTGGGGTACCTAATCGTAGATGTACCCTCTTGGTGTGATAGCCTTAAGAATAGTACTTCTCACCCCATTTCGGACCTTTAATCTCTGCTTCTCAGTAGGGGGGGGAGGGGGGCCTCACTGTAGGAACTAAGAGGCTCGTTCATCTGCGGAGCTCCCACGTGCTTTGGCGAAGGTTTTTTGCCTTGAGGCAAAAACTGTCACACAATCCTAAACCTTAAGCCCTAAACCCTAAACACTAAACCCTAAACACTAAACCCTAAACTCTAAACCTTAGCCGTAGTTTGCGGAACTCCGAGGACAACTGCCACCGGTGGAAGAGCCGCCTGGGAGGTGAGGAGCCCCCTCACGTCCCCGAACTCAGGCACTGCTTCAACTGTCAGCACCTCCGAAAGATCTCTGCGATGGTGCCCGGTAGCCTCAAACTAACCTTTGCCTCGCTTTGCATGGTTCAAGGCCAGGGAACCCTAAACCCTAAACCCTAAACCCTAAACCCTAAACCCCAAACCCTAAGCCCTAAGCCCTAAGTCCTAAGCCCTAAACCCCGACCTTCAAAAAGCGGGAGAAGAGTCTTCCCGGGCATGCGTGGAAGGAAGCGTACTGCATGGCGGGGCCCATGGAACTAACTCCCTCAGCTTGCAGGAGCCAACCTGGGTATCTACCCTACACCCTACACCCCAAACCCTAAACCATAAGCCCTAAACCCAAAATCCAAAACCCTAAACTTTAAACCCTAAACCCTAAATCCTAAACTTTAAACCCTAAACTTTAAACCCTAAACCCTAAACCCTAAACCCTAAACCCTTATAAACCCCAAACCCTAAATCTAAACCCCAAACCCTAAACCCGATGACCTCAATGATTGGGGCCCGCCGTGAAGGCTCAGGAGGCAAAGTAATTCGGTTTTAGGTTTAGGGTTTAGGGCTAAAGGCAGGCTCCATAGACCTTGGGGTTGGAGGTTTAAGGCGCTCTTCTTCATTAGAACCCTAAACCCTAAACCCTAAACCCTAAACCCTAAACCCTAAACCCTAAACCGAAGATCAGAGCCTGCAAGCTGCCGGCAGGCAGAATACTGAATCATCCTCGGGACCTTCTCATCCCGAGGTCCGCGGGGCCCTATAAACTTGCTTAAAGGGTATATTACATTGGGTTTAGGGTTTAGGGTTTAGGGTTTAGGGTTGAGGGTTGAGGGTTGAGGGTTTGGGGTTTGGGGTTTAGGGTTTAAGGTTTAGGGTTTAGGGTTTAGGGTTTAGGGCAACGAAGAACCCGAGGTCCGTATTTTATCAGGGTATTGGCTGCCAAGCCTGTCCAGCTTCAACGTCCGGCTCCATGTGGGCGGGTCTGGGAGCTGAGGGTGTTAGGGTGTTAGGGTGTTAGGGTGTTAGGGTGTTAGGGTGTTAGGGTGTTGGGGTGTTAGGGTGCTAGGGTGTTAGGGTTTAGGGTTTCGGGTTTAGGGTTGAGGGGTTTCAGGGTTTAGGCCTTAGGGCTTTTGTTTAGGGCTTAGGGTTTAGGCTAGGTTCCCCAAGAAACAAGCTTTGACTACTCCCTGCATTTAGCTTGTTCAGCAACACCCACATACTTCCTGATCTTCTTACAGTATGCCGGAACCCGAGAGAGGCAACTTAAGGCGTGCATACTGCTTAGCAGCCTAGAAACCGACTGCTGGCAAGACAGGAGGCATTTCGCAACTAGGACGGTCGTGCCGACTGGGATGTGTGGCCATCTTGGGCTACGGTGTCGCACAAGACTGCGAGCAACCCCGAACCCCCTGAGTCCCTACAACTCCACTGCAGCCCTTGCCTTGAAAGTATGTAGAGTTTTGGGGTTTGGGGTTTAGGGTTTATAGGGTTATAGGGTTATAGGGTTATGGGTTTAGGGTTTAGGGTTTAGGGTTTAGGTTTTAGGGTTTAGGGTTTAGGGTTTAGGGTTTAGGGCTTCATCTTGCCCACCTGTGTGCTTAAGCTCCGCACATCCCGGCTAGATCACTCGGCTCCTCTGCCAAGTGTACGCATGGGAGTTTTCAACCCTAAACCCTAAACCCTAAACCCTAAACCCTAAACCCTAAACCCTAAACCTAAACCCTAAACCCTTTCGTAAACTCCCACATGCCATTGATTCGGTGGCTTGATGCGCAGTTTGGCACTTCAAACACCACGCGGTGGAAGCCTGTGCCTTGAACACCGAAGCCCTCGACAGCCCAAAGGGGTGTAGGGTTTAGGGTTTAGGGTTTAGGGTTTAGGGTCCAGGGCTTGCGCTTTTGTGTTTATGTCTCTCTCACCCCCGGCGCTGTTGTCCTATCGGGGTGCTTACTGGGCTTCAATGTACAAGTAGCTGCTAGAAACCGTAGACCTTCAGCCAGAAATGCAAAAGCGAACCCTACCATCAGGATACCACGTTTAGGGTTTAGGGT